TTTTAAATGCATGGGGCTCATGGAAAGCAAAATAAATATCACAAGTTTGCATGTAAAAGCACAGCCTAAAGATTCTAGAGTAAGATAATTAAAATAAGAACACATTTTCTAACTACAGTTCTCTTAACAGACTGCCTGAATATTTTCTGTCTGAAAATGATTTATATACAATGAGATATTTCACAAAATCAGTGCCAATTGCCATGAGAATTTGTTGAAAAAATAGGTGGGTTCTTCTTCTAACTTGGTATTAAAATGGCTCGTCAATAGAATTGTTAATGTATTCCTGTGGTCCAGCATAAAATAAAATGAAAATAGGAAGGGAAAACATTATTGAGAATTTTATTGTCAAGTGAATATCACATTCATTAGAATAGAAGCTGAATGGACACCCAGGTCAAAGTGCTGAATATTTTTGTTTCAGAACATCTCAGCCTTCAAAACTTTTCTGCTTGTGCCTCACTTCAGCAAGATCAGTAATTCTGACTGACCATTTTGCTGCATCCTCGTCTATTTGCAATGTGTCATGGAGCTCTTAAAATTATTTTCTGCCCCTATGGCTGTTAACATGTGGCTCTGCTTTCTGCTTTTGGTGGGTCCTGCCTTTGCAGATCAGAGGTTTCCAAAGGTTATTAGTCACTCCAGAGGCAAAAATTCTGGACAACTCAAAATGTGTTATCAAGCACTTTCCAGTTCCAGCACATCTCAGGGGTGTGGGTAGCTGCCATGCTTTGCACTGAGCTTCAGGACACCCTCAGGTTTGCCTGGCATTGTTACATGCTGAGCAGTCACTATCTCATGGAGAAAAAAGGAACAGCTCAGCTGGTAACAGTGTGCTGGATTTGCTATGTAGTTTTGGTGAGGGGGTTGACACCTCTGCTAGGTGTAATACCCTTGTGATAAAGCAGTTTACCTTATGAGGCATAACAAATTTGCTCTGATCAGTCTTTCTTGAGTATTTTGATTTCAATACATTTAACTTTTGAGACACATAGGGCACAAAACAAATGAACCTGTGTCCGGATGTGTCCAGATGGCCATCTGTATGAGTCTTTAGATACAGCAGAGTTGTAGTTCAAAGGACTAATTAGTGGAAAAGGATGGTTTTGATATTGGACAATAGATAGTTCAAATTGCTTGCTGTTTGGAGGGGAGGTGGGATGGGGTCAGGAATAGAAGGGGTTGAGCATTGAGTTTAAATGGCTGGAATATTTACCTAATGTATTTCTGTTCAAAACAAAGGTAACAAAAAACACCATAAGAGTCTTTCATAGGAACCTTGATCTTGGAGAATATCCATTGTTTTCATCAAGTTTTGGATGCACAACAAAGGAATAAGTAAACCAGCATGTGTACAAATACATATATATATGTATCACTATCTCAGTCCCTACATAGGGAATATATAGAAAATAATTAATAATAATAATAATAATAATAATAATAATAATAATAATAATAACAACAATAATAACAACAATAATAACAACAATAATAACAACAATAATAATAACAATAATAACAACAATAATAATAACAATAATAATAATTCAGCCAGAGGAGAACAAGGAAAGTATGATGACAAACATTTTTGAGGGCCAATCTTACCATTTCTTCAATCACATCTTCCCACTCTTGCTACTTTTTTCACGGTATAGGACTAAATCCCGAAACACATAGTTTTTATGTAATGCTTACCTCACTAGATTCCCATTCAAGACAGTGTCTGTGTTGAGTACCTTTACTAATGAGTGGCAAGAATGTTAACTAATCAGTTTTGTTGCAGTGTGAACATGGTAAAGATCAGATACAGTCAGGAGGTTCAGTAGCAGATTTTTTAAAATGCAGTTCCTGTCAGTCTGGCATAAAGCTATTCCCCAAAACGGGCAGCGTCTCCACTTGCTGACAATATACCATTTGCTGCTTGAAAAGAGCTTTTATAATTAGTTTTAGAAGGCTGGAACAGTGACTACAAACAAGCTTTTCCTCCTTTTGGGGTTCATTGCTCGCATGCAGCTGTTGTTTTAGTCTCTTGTACAAACAGATTTAAAAAGAAACGTAATAGACACTTCCTTACATATAGCTGTTCGTGGCATCTGGAATGACAGGGTGGGCACATTACAGTAAATGGTGTTTAGAAAGAAATGTTGTGAAAACAAAGAAAGCCACATAGAAAAACACTGACAAAACCACACTAATATGTGGCTTATCTATTTTGTCTATTTGCTTTCTTTATGTTTTGGAGGTTTTCACGGAACACATGTGGCTCTCACTTCCAGGCACGCAGTATATAGTTTCAGGATTCACCAAATGGAGAGAGTAGTCTGAAAAACTGTGAATATAATTAGATATGGAATACTTTTAACAGCTGGAGGGATTTCACACTTACAGCCCAATTTACAAAACTTTGGGCTTGGCACTGTTTCAACACTAGCACTGGAAGTAATAATTTCCTTGGCATTCTTTTGGATCCTGAAATTATTTATGTCTATACATATATCATTTTAAAATCACACACACAAAAAGCAACCATCTTACTTCTACCTGGTTAGTGATAAATGAACAACTTTAGAAGCAATGTCAGGAAGAAGTCAGAAAAAAGTGATCCCACACAAGGCCCATGCCTAAAACATGCTGATAATTTCTCTCCCTGTTTATAATAGGTCTCATGGAAGTTTCCTGTGTTGATAAAAATGGTTTAGACTTTTTTTTTTTTTCTTAATACATGATGGAGTTAATTTTATTTACAAGGATAAAATGTTAGCAAGCAGCACATCGCATGAAGTATCTAGGAAAGCAGATCTATCAAGTAGGTGAACCAGATACTGCTTATGAGAAGAGACCTAACAAGAAATGAGAACAATAAGAATGAAAGAAACAGATTACAGTGTTTTAATTATTTTATTTTTAATTATTTTCATATCTTTTCTTGGTTCTGTTTTAATAGCAGAATAATAAATTCATATAGATTCTGAACTATCTTGTAATTGTAATTCCAGCCATTCTTCTAACATCTCCTGTGCATGATTTCCTTTCACTTTGGTGGCTCTAGATGTTAAAAAGATTATTGGAATATGTTAAATATGGGAGCTGCTCCTCTCAAAGAAGGGATACATCTCTCACTAAACGGTGTCTCAATGAATTGAAATAACTAGTATGCAGCATCTCAAGACTGTTCAGCCTGTATTAGAAGAAAAAATATGTTTAGTTATTTAATACTACACTATATGTGTACACTATACACAATAGATCACTAACACAGAGACCGAAAAAATGGAGTATGCCAAAGTGATACCAAAACAGTACTTTTCAAATTATATGCCATTCTTGGAAAAACATGTCACGTAAGATCCTGACAGTGGTGCACACTTATGTTCTGTATTACACACAAAGCATGTGTGATACAAATGTTATGTGCTATTTGCAGCCAGTGAAGGGAAAATATATTCATGCATTTCTTTCAGGGTTTGCAGAATAGGTTCATGACTTCAGTCTACTCCTGATCCAGGGCTGTGCGATAGGTACTTGACAAGAGGGACTTGTTCTGTGGCACATGGGTACACATTTGTGCATTTAGGATAAGTCTCATGGAAGCAAGTGAGTGGATGGATATGTTTACAGTAATTTATTCCTTCATTTTCCACCTTCCGTGTGCCCCGGGTAACTCACGCACTGCCTGCTATTTGAAGAAAGACAGGCTCACTTGCCCTATCCATGAGAATCTCACCTGTAGTCCATGGGATTCAGGTTTTTACCAAACGTGCTGGTAACAGGCATGGATTTGATGACACAGACAGTTATCACAAGGAAACACCCCCTCTGAAAGTCACTTAATGTCACAGGCCAAATTCCACATTGATTCATTCATTTAATATATAGTATTTTTGTTAAGAATTATATTTTAACACTGTAATATTATCATTAAAAAAAAAAAAGAGTCTAAGAAGTGTTGTGTTTGAATACATATTGATAACAGGATAGTTTTATTGTTAGAGAAAACATGCTTAAAAATCCTTTAAGGGCTATTTGGATAAAACAGATACAGGAGTGAGAATTTATTTTATTTGTACCTAATTTTGCAAAAAATAAGGAATAACAAAGGCATATATCTATAGCTCTATGCCTGGGACATCTGGATTGTCGAAATATTCATGCATCTGATCTGAAGCCTTTAATCAATTTCTCTTCAGCCTCTGGATCATGTGCATAAAATCAAATATACAAATAAATCTTTACCAGATCAGAATGTAAAAAGCTACACTTCCTGCTCCACCCCACATCTAATAGCTTTAATCTCTTTCTGCAGGCCTTTGCAGATATCGTCTTAAAAACATATTTCTGCTTTTTCCAACAACCAGTTGGAAAGGAGCCTCTGAGGGTTGCTGCAGTCCTGCTATGGCAGCCTGTGGTCACAGGTCCCCTCATCGATGTCCCTGCTCATGTCTGCCAGTACCAGGCACCCACCGTGACTGTCCCCCCATGTGCTTGGCATGGAAAACCAGGCTAGCCTTGCTGGGCTTTCCCACAGCCTTGCTGGCTACACCCTTGTAAGCTGTACTTCTGTTTTTATTTTAGCACCTGTGAGGGGGGAGGAGAAACACCAGATATTCATGTGCCAAACAAAGGACAGATCAGGTGTCAGCTGACAATTGTCTCCGCTAAGGAGGTAACGTCAGGAGCTGGCGAGATCAAACGCCGAGAGGAAATATGGTTGTAATATTAATAAACACCTGTCTGGTATTACTGTACCTGCTGGCCTTCTCCCAGCAAGATAATTAATCACCTAGACCTGGCAAAACAATCTCCTAAACCCTACCACCGTATACATTACAGGGTCAGTCTGAACCTGCTCCAAAAGCTGTGCTGGAGACACCAGAAACCCCAGAGGTGGGCTTTTAAACGAAGGGGTGATAGTTACCATTGCCTGCCTGCTCGTGTGCATTGAGCTCCGACCCGCAGCACCAGCGCTCACGTGCAGAGGTGCGGGCTGAGCTCAGCACCCTCCTATCCCTTTGTCTGCCCGGGGGCTTCCAGGGGGCTGCACCCCTGCAACCCAGTGAGAGCGAGGGATTTCTCCTCATGTCCCCTGGTTCCTCTAACCTAAACTTCCTGCAGGGCTTCAGGGATTTTAACACAATGCACTGTGAGGCACCGAGTGGCATGCAGCAAGGATGGCAAACACACATGCTGCAGTTACCTTGTAGAAGTGGTATGCAGTCAAGATTTTAACATCCAGAAGGAGTCTGAACAACAACAGCAGGGAGTGCCCCGGCAGCAACTGGGATGGCAATCACCCAGCAGCACAGCTACTAGGAAACCAAATATATTAACTCTCCAATGCACTAAGCGGCGGAGACAGCTATTCTCCTCAGCCAACTGGCAGTAAAAGTGGAAAGGAAAAATTCCACTTAAATTCTCCAAGCCACACTCCCAGTGCGCTGGTATTCTTCCCGCATGCCCTAGCAGACCATGTGCTGCAGAGCACTGTGCAAGAGCCCACCCTTCCAGCTCTGTGCGAAGGCTGGCCGGAACAGACTCACAAATAGCACCGGGAATGCCATGGACGGCATCCAGTTCCTTGAGGAAACTCTGTGGTATTACTTTAAACACATCATTTTGCAGGGTAAGCGCCTGACTTGGCCATTCAGTCCCCTTTGTGTGAAATTGCTTGCAGCGGGTTTGTGTGAGGAGCATGATGGGGAGAGGGGCATGACCTGTGGAAACATGCTGGTGCCAGCTTCATCCAGCTCACCCTGGGGACCACAGTGGTGGCAATGTGGCAGAGTGGGGTCTGCAGGTCCCTGGTAGGTGCTATGGGCCAGACCCTGGCCTCTCCCTGAACCTGGCTGCAGCCCTGTGCTAGCCTAGTGCTGCCTTCAAGTTTGTATCGGGCTGTGTGGACAAACCCTGACTGGTTTGGGCACAGTAAACATTACTGGGCCGTTAGAAGCCATCAAGCTGTTAAACCTCCTGATGCAAAGCTTAAAGCTGCGATCAGGATGAGACTTTATGTATGTGGAGTGGAGATTATCCCACATCTGGCATCTGTGTCACAGACAGATCCACCCTACAGATCCCATACAGCAACTCTTGCAGTCCTTCCTCTTCTTTGAGTGGCAGGATGTCATCAAATAGGTATTTTTAAGACAGATTGGCCCCTAATTGATTAGCATGCATGGTAAGCCAAGCTGAAGACAGTAAATCAGCAAAAACAACTGTGCCCAGCTCCTGAAGTCCACACACAGGACTCCAGCCAGCGGCACAAAGCCTCAGTCCGCACTGCGCTGCCCACTAAGCATGCAAGGACAGCGTGTGTGTAAGGGGCATTGGCACAGCCACTGATTCTCGAGGAACAGCATGAAAAGACATCTGCAGGAATCAAAACTAACAAAGGATGTAGGTTAAGGTCCAGAGGTAACACTCCAGACCCCAGACTTTATTCCACGTAAACAAACCTTGTGCCAGCCCTCCCCTTTTGCCTCATTCAGCTGCACCCAGGAGCAGCACAGTAGCCCCATGGCAGAATATTCATTAACACCAAACCAGTGGTCCTTTGCCTCCACACACATGCTAAACATATTTGGTTTTCACTTCAACATGCAGCCTTCCAGGCTTCTTTCTGCAGGTTCAAGCCCACTATAACTAACTCTGCTTCATCTGCAGCATAGTAGGCTGAAGCTATTGTAATAAAATAGCTGTGATCTTCAGCAACTGCAATAGAACATTGTCTTGAGATCAATTTCCTTTTACAATAAAGTCTTGGCTTTGCTTCAGCATTTATGAAGTGGCAGGGGGCTGTTATCCATTGAAATTATCTCTTTCATATACTATATCATAAAAATATTGCCCTTTACGTGTAGTGTTATAAAGGTATTTGGCTGACTGACTGACTTTAACCACCCAAGAAGAGTAATAAGTTCAATAATCCTCTGGAAATACATAGCCTGGAGTGTGTTATTGCAGCTAGTATGCAGTGCAGTCTACAAAAGCAAATCACAAAAACAATTAGGTTTATGCATTTTCAATGCTTGATTGATACAGCTTTGACATAAATCACAGAGTTAGAAAAATACACTGCTGGATTAGCAAACCACATTATACTAGTGTGGCTTGCCATGTCATTTTGCTGAGATATTTATGATACCAACAAAAGTAATGACAGTCAAGCAAGTTGCCGTTGTTACAGGACACTATGAATAGGTTATGCATCTAAACTTTCAGTGTGTGCAGAATAAATGCAACCAGGTTGTAACTTGGAAGGAGATCTCTAGACAGATTCTTGGACCAGTGTCTGAGGACAAACAGTTCCAGTGAGATCTAAAATTGCACATGAAGCAAAAACTTCTATCAGCATGCCAGAGAAGTATCCTGGTGCCAGTAATGGACAAAGGAGGTACCTTTTCTGAAAATAGTACCTATAAGGAAATTATTTTCTTTATGATGGAGAAACTCTGTTTTGTTCACTGGACTTCTTTGTTAAGTGTTCAAAGAGATATGGAAAAGCATTCTTCAAGTATATAGCTTCACAGAAATGGTGGAGACTGGTGCAAGTCCAGCAGGCTTCACAGTATGTAAAAGGACTGCTCTGAAGTTTGACCATGGTCCACATTACTACAATGGTCAACTCAACAGCTGGTATACTACTCATCAATGAAGGATTTCTGTGCAACATTACTGTTACTTCTTCACATTGCAACTCGTATTGCCTACAGCACAGTATCTTCATTGTATTCCTGCATCTCTAGAGAAGTGAATGATAACCAGGAGTGCAGAGTGAAGGCCTGTCGGGACCCACAATTAAATACAGTGATGGAAACTGGAGGGGATACGTTCCCCGTCATATCTAGAGAGCAAACATTAATAAAGATACTGACAAAAAGAGTAGATATCTTCTATAACCACAACAAACAACAACAGCAATAATAATAATAATAATGATGATGATGATGATGATGATGATGATGATAATACTAATATAGTTTATGTGAACCTGAAGAGCACTATTTCATATCAGCAATCTTAAGGTTCCGAGAAAACAGCAGGAAAGAGGGTAGCAAAAGCATTGTATGTTGTTTTCAGACTGTTTTGTAATTACATGAGAATGTTTTAAGCCACATGTTGATTAAAACAATCAGAGAGCTTATCCCAACAAACTCACCAATTATCCAGTAGTAGAAAACCATTGCATCCAGGGTGTTGTTATTTTCAAGACCAGCTGTGTGAACCAAAGTTTTACAGGGGGAACAAAGCCATTGCTGGAAGAAATGATTGGAAAAAAATCACAACTGGATGTTTGGAAGTTGGTAATTTAGCTGTGTGAATAACACAACACCAGCCCATTTGAGACCATATTATCTAGTTTATACATAGCCTTTATAACTGTCCAAATCATTTGCAGGTTACAGTAAAAATCTACTCTATTTAAGATCAGTCATAGTCTCTTGACTTGTGGTTTTGAGAAGAAATAAATGGTTGCCTACATGGAGGGTGAATTAGACAGGGACTATGTGAGATAAGAGACTGGCTGTGTTTCCACTGTTGTGGACTTCAGCCAAAGAGGGAAGGATTATCACTACTAATACAGCGTGGGACTTTGAGATGGTCTATGAGCTGGAACAGAAGAAAAGGTAATCCTAACTCAAAATGCTAAAACGAGGTAACTAGCCTAGCCTTACTTTGAGAGCATATAAAACAGTGATTCTGTTAGAGATAACCTTTTCAAGCCAATTACTAAATTGGTCTTTCTCCACAGCTTATGCTTCAGCAGCAGGAAATGAACATCTGAAATTTGGCCTACAGTTTGAGGTGAACTATGCACTTTCTTTCCTTTCCTTCACTTCTGCCAGAAATGAAGGAAAGAAGAACTCCAAGGAAGAGGTTTTACCAGTAATATTTATTAGTGACTCAAATCTCTACATATTCATAGACTTTGAGGCCATCCCATCAGCCTCCATAAATCAATATAGCTCCCTCAGAGTTACATTTCTTTGCTGATCCAGTCCATCAAGAAGAGAATAAAAATAGAGACCATTGATTGGCAGGAACTGAAGAAAATTAGAGACAAATAGGCCAGGCAATTAGAAAGTGTTGCTTACAAAGTTTGTGTATTTTCTTGGTACATTCTTGTTAGAACAGAAGCCCATAATCTGTAGGTCAGGTTTGAGTAGCTCAAGGTCATGCATAGGACCAAATAATCTAGTAATGTATTTCTGGGAGTAGTTTATCAATGTGTTTCTTTAAAAAACAGCTTGAGAAATATTTTATATTCAAGCTTCTGAGAGTAGAACTTACTTCATAAATATAAAATAAAAAATAAAACAAACAAACAAACAAAAAAAAAACCTCCATTACATTTAATCTGCATAGAATGGTAATCCTCCAGCTGTCTTTGTTTCTTTCAAACCACTGGCAACACTACCCTGGTTAGGAAGCTGATGACTACATTATGTCAATGTTATCCAAAGAGAGCATTTGGCTTATCTTTAAGATATTCTTAATATGTTTTCCTCAACATTTTTGTTTCTGTACGTTTTGTTATGTGAAAATGGTCGGCCTTAAAATAGGTGTAATCAGATGAACTGTGCAATGGAGAAGGTGCTCTGCACAGTACTTGAACACCAGTGCATGGCTGTTGGAGATGCTCTTTCTCCATCTTCCACACACAGATGTGTCTGAAGCTGTGTTAATACAGCAGTCCAGATAAGGATGGAACACAGCCATTTCCCACAACATAACAGTCTGAGATATCCCAAAAAGATCCCAAAAACATGTTCTATTTCCTATTTATTATTATTATTATTATTATTATTATTATTATTATTATTATTATTATTATTATTTAGGATTTGGCCTGGCTGCTTTAGTCAGGTTCCATTTGCAAAACTTTTTTATCTTAATGGTGGTCCTCAAAGTAACTTCAACTGCCTCACCAGTATTGCCTCAGGAGTTGTAAAGGAACTTCCAAATTTTATGGAGACTTAGGTCACAAGTCCCTCAAAAACATGGGCTCTGGGCATTACACAAAGATCTAAAAATGTAAGGCACCTCTGGCTGATGATCAGTGATTTTCAGGGCTCAGGCAGACAGCATACATAACGATTGGATCTCATGATCAGTAATGTAATGGCCCCTGAGCTGACTCATGTGTGCCTATGTGTCTATGAGTGGGACAGCATTGCCTTGTCCAAAGCTTTTAGCATCCATGGTCCCAAAGTGGGTGGGAGCTTTCTTCATCCAAAAGAAAGTTTGTAAAGCTAAGTAGGGGGCATCGTGCACATCGTAGTTGCAGAGGTACCTTTCAGAGACATTGCCCAAGAACTGTGTTAGAAATAAACACACTGCTACAAAGTCCTACTTTGTCCACTGCTACTATATTGAAATACATTTTCTTGACCTTCAATGAAAGACATTTCTCATTTTGCTCATCATCTTTCAGCCAGCTTGAGAGCTGTGGTCAATGTGCCTCAGACCAAGTTGACTGAGTGAGAGTAGAAAGTTTATAGTCTACTTAAAGTATTTCATGTTCATACCTAAAAGGGTCTGAATTATTCTTAAAAGCCGCTTCACGTTGGTATAGTCTTCAGCATTCATTTTCCCCCTACAGTTGTCTCAGGCTTTGCAAGA